GATTTTGATGTTTTAATATCCAGACCCACCTATTATATTTCAGATATTTCATAAATTGAATCATTCGGATCCACTTAATTATGAAATCGAACACGAAATTTTAATTTCGATTTTATTCTACTCATAACATTTTTTATGAAAATCGTGAGCTGACAATATAACAGAAATAAAAGAAATTAAATATTTTATCGAGAAGCATCTAATATCTAGTAAATTATGCCGTGAAATAGCATCAAATATCTAACAATGCATAAACATCAAATTACATACCCGAAGAATAAACCAAAAACTAGAAATCAACAATAAGTACTTTATTCTGTAAAACGTTGAAAATAGCATAAATTCGTGCATCTAAAAACAACAAACAATCAACATTATTGACTTTTCTTTGCATCTTATTAGATCATTGAATCGGAGTGAAAAAGTTGTGAAGAATTAAAAATTAATAAAAATGACAAATTCGATTTGAAAACCAAGTACCCACGATTCCGATTTTAGAATCAGGTACCGTCCAGTACTCAATCGATTCTCGATTTCAACTCCTAATTTTTATTTTTTTTTCCGCTCAAACTGAATCGAAACCTTTGGTTCCATTTGAAATGCCACCTCTATGTTAGCATAAAGTTTGTAGAAAAAAAATGGTTTTGTATCCCAACCCAATCGATGGTTCAAAGAATGACCATAAATCACATCAATAAAAAGTGATAATAGTAGCCAATAGCCACTACGCACTTTCAAAAGAAACTCTAGTCTGGTCTCAAAAGTAAAGTTTTGATGGATTTAATGAAGATACCATTTCAGAAATTTACATATGCAAGTAATCTGGACCACATTGTGATTCATAGTTTGAATGGTCAAGATTTAATCATTTGGTCTTCATTTTTTAACCTTGGATGCCACTCCCTTAGTAGCTTTGTATTTTTGGCTCTTGATTATCCACCTTTAGAAAAAGAGAAATGTTAATACATTTTCTTTTACACTAATAAAACTTTAAAAAATCGAGGTTTATGATGTGTTTTCACTTCTTGATTAGTTTTGTAACTTGTATAAGTTTTCATTTTGTAATTTGTATAAGCGTAAAATTTTAAAAGTATCAGAATATTCGTGAATTAAAACTTATAATAAAGAATTAAAGTAAACAGTATCCAAAAAGAGAGAGAACAAAAAGTAAGCACGAGAGTGAGTGGAAAGTTATAATACGTAACCCAAGTAAACAGTATCCAAAAAGAGAGTAACCCTGAGTGAAATACATCAAATCAAAATTTCCTTTTATTTTTTTTCAAATTATAGAACGAAAATAAAATTTCAATAATTGCAAGTACTAATATACTCTGTAGGTAAGTGTCGAATCAAATGTCAAATTGATGGATTAATTGCAATTGAGGACGGAAGACGAATATGTTGTAACACTAATGTAGCCACAAAATAAAACCAACAAATATGGGACTTTTTATTTTTGCAACTTTATTAGATGCAGCTAAAATTATGAATCTGCAATCATTAAAATTAAAACTTTAATAATGAAATTGAGACTACTTGACCTTATATATAATTGCACTAGTAATCAAATTATAATAAATATTTTAAATTCAATAATTAAGAATTGACTAATCATGTAATTATTATTTATAATTAGCTCAAATAATTTGTACAAAAAATAATCAATGTTGGTAATCACAGTGTAACCACTCTTGGGTCCACTCCACTCCACCCCACCCCGCACGCACACAATGTGGGTTATGATTGTTCACACGTTTGAAACACTAACACCGAACCGGACCGGCCGGACCGGATATGTCATGTCAAGTGTTTATATAGAAGAGAAGTGTAGTGGTTTCTCACACACCGTGACCGTGCACTCCTCAGCCTTCTCTCTCTAAAAATCTTCTCTGCTGTGCATTTTGGGTACCTGTTTCTCGCTGGTGATAACCTGTTTTCGGAGCTCATTTTCGCCTTTCATTTATTGTAAGTTTTACTCATTCGGTTTAGTGTTTTCCTTAATCGCTTCTGCTTTTTTGGGCTACATGTTTTATGGTTTTGAACTGACGCTGTTTGCCATCAGATCTGGTTTCAATTGGTTCATTATTTGTTTTATTTTCAGAAAATACAATCTAGGAATTTTCTGATTTCAAGGATAGTGTTGTTTTCGTAGAAAACATTGAGTGTCTTCACATTTTATGATGCACGCCACGATTATTCGCTGCCGTAGGTTCTAATTAAAGAGTTTTACAAATGTGCTATAACACCGAGATGGAAAAAGCTCAACACTTCTTAAGTGTTGATCCGGTTTTATTATGTCGATATGAGAATTATAATGGTGTGGATATTTATGTTATTCAGTGTCAATTATGGTGATAATGGACGAAGTATTTTCTGGTGATACTACAAATATTGTCATATGTAGATCCACACGTGTTTTATACATAATTAACAATTAACGATTCTATAGATCTGTCAACTTGGATGGACAATATCTTCATGTAATGTGATATGAGGTTCATACACAATTTGATTTGAATTATTACGTGGAATTTTATTTTGCTTGGTTGTTATGATGGTAAACAATTTTATACATGAATAAAATGTGCTTTAACATGATTTGATGGTGGAATTGGGATTGGATGGCACAATAACGGAACAGCTTTTAGCATTTTCGTCCCATTTCTACAAGGGACACTTACTGTGCTAATTCTGACACCAGTGTGCTGATTTTTTAAGTTTTGACCTTCAGAACCAAGTTTAATGGCCATATTGGTTCACTGAGGACATGTAAGGTCCCCAGTGATGTTTAAGAGTTGAATTAAGAAATTGGTTTATGAAGTAAGAAATGAAGATTTGAAATATTATGGATTTAATTTAATACCTATTATAGGAATGAAACTTAAGACATCTGATACTAAGGGATAGGACCTCTTAGGCATGCATGTGAGCCCGTGGTATCTGATGCTCTAACTAGGTATATAAAGATCCATGAACACCTACAATTAAATTGGCAAAAATTGATAAAATAGCACACTGTTGTCAGAATTTATTAAACAGCACTCTACAAGTCCCTTGCAGAAAATGGACAAAAAAGCTGTAAGAATTCTGTTGTTGTGCCATCAAGTAACCAAGATATGTACAACCCCAAACCATAATTTATAAACATTTAGCCAAGTGATTAGGGTCATATAAAATCATTGATAGAAATATGCTCTAAATCATGCATCGAGGTTCCCAAATTCAAACCCATTTCGCAAATTTTTTCCTTTCGACATATTTCATCAACAATCTTTTCTTCTGTTGAAATACATTTGATCTTGGATTTCATGTAGGAATGTAGAAGGCTGAACTGGTGAAATTGATTTTCTTGCCTTTTATTTCTTACAAAATACATGTCAATTTAATATTTTTTGGTATAGTTAGAGCATCATGAAAGAAAATTAAATGTATAAATTGGTGCGTGCCTGATTATTATTTTTTTGCTTCATTCCTATTGTTCTTCTTTAGTGTCAAACAAGGCAAAGGGTTTTACATGGTGTTTCTTTCATTGATTATGAATGTTTCTTTACATTTTCTGGCTTCCAACTTTGAAGATCACATTTCAAAATAAATAAATGTAGATACATTTTCTTCTCTAGTCCTCGAGGAACAATGACTTCTACTTTATATAGGAAAAACAATGAAATAGTCCTGGCTCCTTTTGTGTTCTCTTGATGATCTTCTTCACTTTATCTAATTTTAGCAAGAGTTTGATAAAGGACGTGCAATTAGTCAGTACTTCAATATTTCTTCTCTGATTTCCTTCAATTTTCCACCATGATTCTGCATCTAATGTGTTACAAAACTCCTGCAGTGTCTCTCAATAGGTAAAAGGAGAAGTCAATAGCCGTGGCAAATCATCAGAGTGAAGAACAGCATGCGGTGGTTTAGTCTCTCTATTGATGCGTTCCGGAAAGTTATCTCTTTGAACTTGTACTGCCACGTGATTCTGTAAAATCACCTCAATTCAGAAAACAGCAACCCTAAAACTCGGCCACAAACTCTCTTATGACACCTAGAATACATGCTTTAATTTCCATGGGGTCTATACACTATGTTCGCAGGATTAGTTGAGTCCATTCTTCTATTCCTAAAGTTCTTGCCAAGTTTTCAGTATCATTCCTACATAACTGTTCATGTATTTGGTCCTTTGATTTCCTTTTTTCAATTAAGCATAGTGGTTTATTTATAATCTTTGGGTGGAAGGTTGCAGAAGGAAAGAATTGTCTTTTGTGATATTTTGTGTTCTTGGGATAACGTGGTCTACTTTTGAGCAAAGAATTTGCAAACTGTTGAATAATTTGATCACGGACTCTCCGAACAGATTAGTGTTTTTTTGAGTGGATTGGGGGAAAGTAGTTATGGTGTGTCAAGCAGCTTGTCAGACAAGATTTCGGGCATTGAAGCATGAGAGTGGAATTGCTGGGTGTGCTACCATAATAGTTAGAATTATAGCGTGTTTTCAACCTCTCCAGGATTGTCAGGTTAGTATACAACCTTTAATTTTTTCAGAATGAGATTCTCATAATTTTGATATTTTCTTGCTAGGTCAGTTTATCCCTACCTAACTTCGTAAGAAGTCTTATTCTTTTGTATATGGTTGAAGAGATTCTAATTTTTATTTTTTTGGGTATATTTCAGGCCGAGTATTTCCGCCAATTGCTTAAACCTGTTACGTAGATTAATATATTTTCTCTGCATTCAAGTTAAGCCAGATATTTTTAGTTTACATTTCCCTCAAAGATACAAGAAGTAGTCACTGATTTTTAGTTCTACTGCTATACTGGTACGTTTGCAATGTCTGAGTTTTCCCATTTTGCTGATAGTGGTGTTCTACATTTGATTTGTCTGACTGTCAAGTCTTACTTTTTAATAGGTGATTGCTGTAATTGATGGAAAAAGATTCTGGATCCTGGTTCCATCACCAGCATCAAAATCAGCAGTCTTCCACTAGGAATTTCTTGGGTTCTCCAATTAACATGGGGTCTCTGAACACCATGCCTGCTTATATGAATCCCTACTGTATTGAGGATTCTACTTCTGGAACTTTTCCCTTGTTTCCGCTGCAACAATTGAAGCCAAGCGAATTGAACGACTATCCTAATTGGTTTCACTGTCTGTCTCGTTTCCATCAGGCCTATGCTCATGTACCAAACTCTCTGTCCAGAAAGGAACTCCCAGTGGGCCCAATTGAAAATTTGGGACAAAAAGGATGTCCTGACATGGGTACTGCATGTATCCAGAAGAAATTTCTCGTTTTTGATCAATCTGGTGATAAAACTACCTTGCTGTACAGTTCTGGAGCCAAGACTCCAGTTCAGTGTGCGACTTCTTGGAGGCCAAAGCTTGCCGCCACTCTTAATTTGGACAAGGAAGAGCCAAGGGATATCACATCTCCACTGGGGCCAATTTTCAAGGATGAATGCATTGAATACAAATATGGAAATGATTTGGAAAGTGAGATGCATGAAGACACCGAAGAACTGAATGCTCTTCTCTGCTCTGATAGTGACAGTGAGTGTTCCGAGGATGATGAAGAGGCAAGCACAGGCCATTCACCTAGCACTATGACTGATAATAATATTCAGGAGATGGTCGAGGAAAAGAGTGACAGAGGTTCTAATTCTGTCGTGCCAGCGAAAAGGCAGAAATTGCTTGATTTAGGTTATGTTGTACCGTCTCTTGTGCATTCTTCGAGATCTTTGAAAACTCATACATGCTCCGAGTTGGAGGATGATGCAGAATCCAGTTGTGGCAACGGAAATAATCAAGAATTGAAAAAATTATGTTCCTTATCTGCTAGAAAAAGGTCAAGGATAGAGAGCATGCACGAAACCGTGAACATTCTGCAGGGTATAATTCCCGGTGGCAAGGGAAAGAATGCAATTGGTGTTATTGATGAAGCAATCGATTACTTGAGATCCTTGAAGGTCAAAGCCAGAGATTTAGGTCTTGACACACTATGAAGTTCTATATTCCTTACCTATAATTCTCTCCTATTGTTTTAGGAACTAGTCATTATGGTTAATGAAGATCGTCTGTGGAGCATATAGTACAAGTACAGAGCCTTGAAGCTGTGGCACTGTAAACTGGGAAGGATGAGATGTTTTCCGTATACTATACCAGTGTGGAATCCTGAATATTTGCGTAGATAAGCTCTTTTAAGTCTCTTCTGTGATTTGAGTGTATTATAAGATTCTCTCACGCCATGGTTGCCATGCCATTATATTCCATTCCGCTTAAAGGCGTGTTTGTTTTTGATTGATTTGAGTGGGCCGGATCTCCCGAGATACATCTGTCTCCACTGGAACTGTTAACTTTGGCTTTCAGTTCTTCAGTAGGTCTCTCTTATGGAGAAAAAAAATCAATTGAAGCTTTGAAATTCACACTTGAATGAAAAAGCAGTATATCAATCAGATGATAGTTCGACTGGGAAGCTTCATTAGTTTTTGTAATTTGAGTGTGTGATTTGTCAGATTATCTGTATTGTATTTGTGAGAGAGCTGTTTGGGTGTGATGTTAACTTTTGTTTGCTGTTAATGCTGTTTTAACCACGTATTATCTCGTGTTTAACCTTTTATTATCTGGTGTGTATAGTGCAGCTCAACACTGATACGTCCATTTAAAGTCCTTTTTTTCTGTTATCTCTGTAGCACAGTTACTTCANATTATATATTTTTAATTCAAAATTATTATTAGCAAGTAACAAATAGGTACTCATGTTTAAAAGATTTCAACAAGAAAAATTAATAACAAGTATAAAACTAAATTTATACTATATAAATGAAGAATTTTTAAGAATTTAATCAACGTGTTGATGATGTATCGTGTCTGTACTCTGTGCTCGTGATACAACAAAATGATTTGGCTCATTCCGAAGGGCTCCCAATGTCAAAGATAACTCGTGGAGAGGTTAAGCAGTCCAGTTTGTTATAGGAGTAATTTCGAAGGAAATTTACAAAACTGGAAATAATAAATGGAGTGTAGATAAGTGTAAGTGATGCTTATAATTGCAAAATTGTATGTTATTTCTTATATCACCATGTTTTATTAATTGTAATATAGCATTTTCTGACTTAGCTTAGAAAAGAAAAAGAAGTAAAAAGAGAGAGAGGGAGAGTTAAATGTGAGAAATATGCCGTCTTCTACAACAGAAGGCCAAACGTTCTGATTTAATTGAATTTCGGGTACATATTTTAAATTATTTGTAGATTATAAATTGTGGATTCTACGAGATTTGTAGATAAAAAATGAATAAAAGTTATAGATCCCAGAAAATACGTTGATGAAAATGATATTTGATCAGGTTATAATCTTAAAAAACTTTGGCAAATATACTATTAGATTTTAATTTCAATTTCAGCCACTGTTTGAGCAACATTCTTATTTTCTACTCATTTTCAACCACAAATTCTTTAATAAAATAATATTTTATATCATATCAATAACTTTTTCTTCTTTTTCAACCACATATTCACTATCACATCACAAAAAAAAATGGCGTTCTCTCCTAAAAAATATGCATCAAAACACACACTCAATTTCAAGAACGAGAAAGAAATTGGATTTAAATTATTCCGCTTAGCTCCAGCTTAAGAGCTTAAGCTTGTTCTTACCAATAATCTCAAAGCCGGAATTCAGATATTTGTATATGTAAACTTTATGTATATATCTTCTATATATTAAAAGTGGCTATATAACGGAATTTCTTGTTTTTAACGGAAAAACTAACGGAATTTGTTATTTTAACGGACTATGTAACGAAATTTCTTGTTTTAAACAGGCAGTTGCACATTCTTTCAGTGTTTTTATCATAACTTTGTATTCCGATATCCGATTGAGGCAATTCAAAATGCGTTGGAAAGCTAACTCATCTGGCTACAACTTTAATTCAGACATCATTCTCCAATTCGATCACTTTATATACCAAAAATAGGTCTCAATATGAGACTAAAACATCGCAGCATAACTTTTCGGTTGGAAATTGATTTGTGATCATCTTTTGACTAAATTTGATTCCATTGACGTCTTCCTTTATCCAATTGACTCCGAGCACTCTCAAATCTTCATCGTGAGGTTTGGCACAACTTTTAAGTATTTACATTTTAGTCCCAGAACTTTGGATCCCTTACAATTTAGCCATTTTCTCCAAATTTGTCAACTTTTGCTTATTTTCTTCGATCTCACCAACTTACATCACAACATCAAAATCACACATCTAATTATTTAACAATTATATAAACATTACATCATTAATTATTTAATTAACCAAAAAAATTA